AGAAAGGAATAAACAACATAAAATTAAGAGAAAATTCAAAACGGTTTAAAATTTCGGTATCCAAGTATAAACATTTTTTATTAGATTTTAGTAAACTTTATCTAGTTTTGAATTGTAATGTCTGAAATACAAATTAAGTTATCAAAATACTAAAGTTCACAATTTTAAGAACAAATTCTTCAAAAGTTCAATATGCAAATATGATTCATAGTTATTACTGGATTTTGGTAAATTTTATCTAGTTTTTACTGATTTACATAAAACAATTTCCAAAGAATTCAAAAAATGTTTAAAATTCATATATTTTTAAATATATTACTAGAAAAATGTTCCAAAGAGATTTATTCAAATGATAAACAAGTTGACTTGTAAAACAAATTCCAAATGAATAATATGTCTTTATGAGAAGAGCTTTTTTAAAAAATATTATTATTTTATTTTTATTTTGTTTAATTAATTATTTATTAAATAGTCTTAACTTGATGTTATTCTATAATATATATATTTACTATATATATATATATTATATATATATATAATATATATATCATATATATATCTATATATATATATATATGAGTAAGTTCTTCAAGGCATACCAAATAAAAGGCAAAGATTTAGAAGTTAATCTTTAATTTTTCCAAGACTTCAGCCTCGGGCTCTGTCACATAAACTACGTTCTCTGTGCAAAATATATTATATATTTCACAAATATTTTGCTATACTCTGTTCAACAAAATAATATAAAAAAAAAACAAGTTTATGTATATATGATAGTGCAAAATTATGTTCCTTGCGCTAGCTACTGATGTAAGACCATATTTATATCCACTGATGATGACATAAAATACTATGTCGAAACGTTTGGAAAAATAAAGATTAACTTCTAAATCTTTGCCTTTTATTTGATGTATGCCCTTGAAGAACTTACTCATATTTCTCAACATCAAAATTAACTACTTTAACATATATATATAATATATATATATATTATATATATATATATATAGGGGTCAAAAAAAAGTTGTTATGATTTTCAGATACAGTAAAACCTCGATTATCCAGACATTGGTCATACGGATTTGCGATTATCCAGACTACCAACTGCGACTAATTTATATGCATGTACATACCTACAATTCGAATTTCGCATGATAAATGCTGCAGTTTAGTACATGTATGTAATGTAATCTAAGAAAATATATATGTACATACATAAGGAAGTTTCAATTTCCTAATAAACAATATTTTCGTTGATATCTTTGTATGTATTTGATATTTTTAATAAATACACAACATTATTCTTTATACATTCAATTATCCAGATTTTTGATTATCCGGATGCCTATCGACAACAATTAGTCCGGTTAATCAAGGTTTTACTGTACTAGGAATAAAATAGATAATTTGCTGAAGAAACCATCCCTCTAAAATGAGTTCTGATGTCTCTTGCATTGACCCAAAGATAAAGATTGAATTTCAAAGATTCCAAAGATTCCATTTTGAGCCATTTAGGGTGCCACAATCGCATCCAAATGTATGACCGACCCACCCCCACTAACTTTGGAAGACCAACCCACCCATGCCCTTGGTTCACCCCCTGGAACCACCCCTGAGGGGCCCATAATATAAAAATTGCATCATTTTTGATACTTTACATGACAAAAATTAACGATTTATTTAGAAACATAAAATTGAATTATTTTTTTTGTGTGTGTATGAATGAATATCCAAAAAAATAGTTATTTTTTTTTTTTTTGCTGAGTAAAATACCAAAAACGATTTTTTTGCAATTTTTGCAAATACTCAGAAGAGGTCCCATCAGGAGAGACCTCCCAGATGCACTCTAAATGGGTCAAAATGGAATTTTTCGAAATTCAACCCCTATCTTTGGGTCAATGCACGGGAACATGATAATTTCATTCTACAGATATGTTTCTTCAGCAAAGTATCTTATTTTGATCCCTGGTATCCAAAATCATATGTGCCTAAGTGACTTTTAAAATCGTCCCAAAGCAAAGTAAAGATCAGAATTGAATATATGTACTTACTTTGAAGTGTCATGAATGTTGACATCACCTGAAATATAATACTTAGGTTAAGGATCGAAAATATTCATTCGTCCATATATTTTATCATACTTTTATTTTCGACGTCAGAATCGCTTTCACTCAATACTCTATATCTCTTTTTGTTGGGTTGTATCGAACAATCATCAGAATCCACTGCCGGCATCTTGTCTGGGCCGTTTATCTACATTTTATTTATTATCATTTTAAAATCATTGTTTAAATTATAATTAGTTTAAAATAACAATCAAATTTAAACTTTACTACCTATATTAGATATTTTTCGTTCAAGAGTTTTTGGAGTTGATGGTGCAGACCTAGGCGACTTAGAGAAATAATGAGCAGAGTGTTACCTAAACTATTTCTTTTCGACATTTCCACAAATTTATAATCTAAATATTCACAACAAAAAATGAGATTCACATATAGTTTGACAACAAACTGAAATGATGTACCCGCCAAAGCGATGTTCAAGGCATTACGAGATTAACTCACAACACAAGATTGAACTTTTCGATTATGTATTAACGGCGACCGGTGTGAACTTAATGAACCGTTTGCCGTCCGTTAACACCGGTTTGCCGGTCTAAATTTAAAGGTCGATTCACATACGACTAGATAATATTAGAATATGATTAGAATCATACATAGATATGGTGTATGATAAACTTAAATGAAACGCCGATGTTGTCTTAGTCATGTATTATTAACAACTATATTTTATATAAAAATAAAGAATAAAATTAAAAGCTCAAAATGGCGGGTCAAAAGCCCCCCTACCAGATTTTGGTTATTTGTAAAGCACACCGTTAGATGACGACATAATTAATTATATTTTATCCAAATGGGTAAAACGTTAAATGGCCAAAAACCGATTTGGCCAGTCTTGAAAAATTCGTGGTAATCCTAGGTTGTTACCGCGTAGAAACTTCACATTTTTAAATTGAAATTTCTTGCAGAAGCGTAATTTAAATAAAACGATGGACGGCGGCTCATACGTCAAATATCAAACGATTTTGACAGATGATGTTCAATTACATTTAATAGGATGTTTTAGGTGAATATTATTTAATTATGATTGAATTGTGGTAAGTAGTTTTGTTTGTAGTTTTATTTATACACAAATACACCCGGTATTAACCGGGCCGCAAGTGTTACTAGAAACTCAAAATATCAACTTTTTTGAAATGCTAATATGAAAATGCACTTTTTGGCGTTATAGCACTCTCTTTCTGCAAATCATATTTTTCTCAAATACGGTGCTCTGAAAGAACTCACTTGTATGATTATATAGTCATTGGTATTTATAAAACATTTTTTAGATTATGTTATTTTTATTTATTTTATTTAGGCAGAACCTAAATTTGAAATAACTTATTCTCAGTTATATTAGGTGCGCAACTAAGTTCTCGCTGTTTTTCGATAAAAATGTGTTTTTATTATAAAAAAAACTCTTACATTTGATTTATTCGAAGTATTGCCCATCATTATACACATATACTTTACCCATATTTCTGGCAGAACTCGAATACCTAGACGCCAGAAGTGTTCGTCTTTTGAGGCTATCCACGAATCAAGTCATTTTCTGTCATATAAAATTTCTGTGCCTGTGTGCATATGTGCGTGATGATGTGTGTGTGTGTGTGTGTGTTCGGATACAAATTTTCGTCGACGATTTCGGGAACACGAATGAAGCGATTTAAATAATTCAAAAAACATTCGATTCGTATTGACAAGGAGACGTGCTGATTAGTTTTTGGCAAAGGTCTGATTTTAATCATTCAAAAAACCTTTTACTTGTATTGACAAGATGAACTGATTAAATTTTTGAGAAGGCATGTCTAGCCGTTTCGGAGATCTAGTAAAAAAACGTAAAAAATATGCCATTTGGCTTCTATATAAATAAAATAAAATAATTCTTTTTTTTCCTCTTGGCTATCCCTTAATTTTTACCCCGCAATGAGATTTTTTTTAAAAAAATCTCAAAAAACATTTCTACAATGTTTAATTAAGTAGCTGAGAAGTGAATATTAAACTGAACATATTTGAACAGTTATTTATTTAATAAATTGTGATGTAGTTGCTTTGGTTTTCACAGTGCTTGCTAAGTCAAATTGGACCTTTGTTACAAACTACACTTTCTTGAACATTGTGAATTAATTTTCTTTATATTTTTTTATATTTTTCTTTATATTTTTTTATAAACAATTTTACTGATGTTTACAAACTACAAATAATGTGTGCAACAAAACGGCATTTTTAAGTTTAAGCCTAAATTAAGATTTTTAATTAGATGTATAATACAGCATGATTGGATACAGCTGGTCACTTACAAAAAATCTAACTTTTCCATACTTTGTTTCTGCCACTTAATAATATACTTCCAATAAAATAAAAAAAAAAATTTAATTGCTGCGCCCATGAGTATATTGACGATTTAAATCTGAAGATCGAATGGCTGCTTAAAACAGAAAACTAGGTATCATATAAACCTATTCACAAAGTTTGCAAAAAGCACAGCTGCAAATTCTTTCTGAGTTTTAAAAATCACTGGATTCACTAGGTATGCGACTTCTTAAAATATTTTCAATGCTTAACAAAAAGCTCCAGCGCAAACAATTTCTAAAAATTTCACGATTTAATTTAAGCACACCTTATTTTGCACTCTTACTGTACTGTATACTGTATATCAAACATATCTTTTATATAGCCAACAAAATGACAAAATATGGCTATTCAAAATTATGTAGTAAAATGAACTATACAATACCTGATATAACTTAAGAATCAACCAGGATTTAAACCAATTAAGTTAAAATTTAACTATTAGCTGTTAATTGTAATTTACATGTTATATTTTTCATAAATATATAAATATATTAGATTTAATACAAAATATTATAAAACCACTTAGAGTGCATTTATTTGTAATTACGTTTGTGCCCAAGGAGGTGACATCGGAGTAGGATTTTGTAAATATGACATAACTACTGCACTAACACTTAACATAAACGAACTCAAAATTTGTTTGGCATCATCACTAACCCGAGAGTTAGCAAAGGAGATACAAGAGCAGTATAGAGCCAACCATGCAGACCATTTTAAACGCATCATTAAACCGCACATGGAGAATATCATACCTAAACATGAATAATATTTAGTTTTATATGGTAAAATAAAAATCAAAGAGATGATGTTATACCCAATATGTTCATATAATCTGGTGTTAGATCCTCATTTGTTTCACCTTGTCCATTTGAGGTTGGTGGCTTATATCGATTTATTCTATCGGGACGCCGAAAATCCGGATGAGAATTCATTATTATTTAGATTATTAACTGCGTGTTTCAACGATTGCACCAGAAAAAGTAGGCGGAGTTATAATACATTCAATAGTTATAATAAATAGGATTCTGACAGGACGACAACTCACATAGAGTTCATATGACTAGGAAATTATCATGATTTTTGACATATTGACAAGCATAGGTAAAAGAAGCGTAAGTGTGCACAGCATAGATAAAAGAAGAGCATTGATAGCATAGATAAAAGAAGAGTAGATAGGAGATAGTGGAGAAGAGCTTTTATCCCTTTTATCCCTAGATATTATCTATTCGCTTAGAGCGTGACTGTAGCGCCTATGCAACGCCCATGCAGCGCCGTTGGTGGTTTCATGGGTTTCTATGTTTGTTAAAGAAAAAAGATCATAAATAATTGCTATAAATAATAATAAACAAGATACAATAATAATGTGAACGCTGAATGTTTATTGAAATTATTAAATTTACTTCAACGAACTTAAAAAACATAATCAAGTTAATAATTTATTAATAAAGAAATGCAGTAAACATTTTAAGGTTAAGTGCCTCAAGCTTATGTCATAATCTCGGAATAGTTCTTAATAAAACAATATAATAATGATAAAAATATTTTATCAATAGAATTAGTAAAATAATAAATTAATTTACTCATTTTTTTATTATTTTTGGTCAACTAAAGACTTACAATAGACATTATTATAAAGACATGATTTGATTCCATCATCCATCAAATAAAATTGCAGAAAAAAAACTACAATAACTTTGCGAGGCTTGTAAATTGAAGGAAATATTGTTGGCAAGTAGGTTACGACTCAATACCTCGTCGATTTTTTTTTCTAATGAAATGTCACTGCAAATGCGATCATAGGGCTGGGAAACCCACGGCGATGATCCATCAACACTACAAATATATATTTTGCATTATTCAGCATTGTATTAATTAAACTGTTTGCAAAATAAACATTTTAGCGCTATGTGATGACTTTTTATTTTTCTTTCAATCATAAAATTACAATTATTATATAATAAAATGTATTAATATATAGATAATAGTTATACAGAATCAATATGCAATATATAAATATATATTTTTTATTATTTCAGCCTTGTATTAATTACATTGTTTGCAAAACATTTTTTTCTAGTAAGCATTAAATTTTGATAATTTAACAATTTATTGACTTATAATTTTCTTTTTGCTAAACATAACAATTTTAAAACTTCATAGTACTCCGAATTGAATTTTTATAAGAATAAGGTTATGATACTTACTTTTTTCTTCTAACCGCAGCGATCCACTTTTCCCGTTGATTTTCTTTCACTTAGCTGTAGAAATGTATAGAATTTGCAGTCACTTTTTCTGCTAGTATTTCTACAACCCACTATATACAACAGCTTTGGTGGCTCATTTTTAATTATCTTATTTAAATTTAAAATTAACAAATATTTTATGTGTTTTTGTTTAAAATTTCTGTTACAATTGGCTATGTGCGAAGGCATGGAAGGGGAAGTCAAATCGACCGAAGCGTTCGTAGTGGCTAACTTGAAGCACTAGAAGGGGCTATTATAAACAAAATTTTAAACAAAAACACATAAAATATTTATTTATTTCAAATTTAAATAAGATAATTAAAAATGAGCCACCATATCTGTTGTGTAGTGGGTTGTAGAAATACCAGCAGAAAAAGTGACTGCAAATTCTATACATTTTGTACAGCTAAGTGGAAAGAAAATCAACGGGAAAAGTGGATCGCAGCGGTTAGAAGAATAAAGTAAGTATCATAACCTTATTGTTATAAAAATACAATTTGGAGTATTATGAATAGTTGTAAAATTGTTATGTTTGCAAAAAGAAAAATTATAAGTCAATAAATGTTGTATTATCAAAATTTAATGCTTACTAAAAAAAATGTTTTATAAAAGAATGTAATTAATACAAGCCTGAAATAATGAAAAATACATATTTATATATTGTATATTGATTATGTATAACTATTATTTATATATTAATTACATTTTATTATAATAATTGTAATTTTATGATTAAAAGAAAAATAAAAGTTATCACATAGCGAAAAATGTTTATTTTGCAAACAGTTTAATTAATACAATGCTGAAATAATGCGAAATATATATTTGTAGTGTTGATGGATCACCGTGGGTTCCCAAGCATTTGCAGTGAATCGTCGAGGTATTGAGTCCTACCTACTTGTCAACAATATTTTCTTCAATAAGTTAATTTCGAAAAGTTAATGTAGTTTTTTCCTGCAATTTTATTTGATCGGTCTTGTCTTTATAATAATGTCTAAATTATGTGTCTTTATAATATGTCTAAGTCTTTAGTTTGATTAAAAAATTGAATAAATTAATTTACTATTTACTTATTCTATTGATAAAATATTATTATCATTATTATCATATTATTATATGTTTTATAAGAACTATTCCGAGTTTATGACATAAGCTTTGAGGCACTTAACCTTAAAATTATTTACTGCATTTCTTTATTTAATTAATGATATACTTAACTATGTTTTTTAAGTACGTTGAAGTAAATTTAATAATTTCAATAAACATTCAGCATTCACATTATTACTGTATCTTGTTTATTATTATTTATAAACAATTATTTAATATCTTTTTTCTTTAACAAACATGTAAAACCCATGAAAAACAACACTGATAGCCCCAATCAGTTCATATTTATTACGGCGCTGCATGGGCGCTGCAGTCACGCTCGGAGCGAATAGCTACATTTAATGCTAAAAGTAGCCACTACGAACGCTTCGGTCGATTTGACTTCCCCTTCCATGCCTTCGCACATAGCCATAGAATACTCTTCATTTATCTATGCATAGATAAAAGTTTAGATAAATAAGCATAGTAGTAGGTCTTATACTTATATAATTATCTATGGTCTATGGTTTTACTTCAAATCCGTCATTTTTACTCTTCATCGTGGCGATGAGTGTCCTTATCCAGTCACTACAATGTTCCTTTTGGGGGTGTGAAGTTTGGCTGCATTATACGTCAGAAGTGTTTCACATTCGCTGCAGAGTTGAATAGGATTTTAGCGTTATTATGTTTTATTTTGTGTGTTTTTCATGCTATGTGTTCGTCTGTTCGTCTATTCTCCTGTCTATTCTTTTCCGGTGTTTTTTTGCTACCTCGTTTTTTAATTATTTTGTGCGTTATTAATACGGTTTTAGTATAATTTTCTTGTGAATCGTGTGTTGCTCGTCATTATTATATTAACATTTATTTTTTTAATTACTAAGTTTATTATTTTGTTCATATTTTTATAGGTTAAGGTCTTTTTCTTTGTTTTTACGTGTTTTATAGGTTAGGGTTATTATATTACTATTTATGTTCTAGCTATTTTACACTTTTTAGATCGCTTTAGAAGTAGGTATTCCTGCATTATTTTATTTTTAGACAAATATATAAGGTACGTTTTAATCACTTAGGTTAGGTTGCATTTCAATTCATAGCTAGTTACATTTAGGTTAGATTTCATTTCATTTAAGAATTTCATATATATCTCGTTAGTTGATTCCTACGTTACTTTTAGCTCATATTATAGGTTTAATATTTTAGTTCATATTTCTTTTTTATACATAAGTTATCTTTTAATCATAGCTTAAGTTAGTTTAGGTTTATACTATAATTTCAACCCCTTTCTTTTTATATTCAATATGAAAAAGCAAAACCAATGTATCCATTGCTTTAAAACTTTTGCTTCCACTAGTTCTCTTTGCCGTCACAACAGGTTAGTACATCACATACAGCCTAAGGAGTACTTTCAAAAACTCTAAACTCCAATGCACGTATTTTTATGATTCCCGAATTAATCCAGAAACATCCCTTGCGCTGCATTCTTATGCTCTACCCTCTTCATTAATTCCTTCCACTACTTCTTATTCATGTACCCTTACTGCTTCACAAACTTCTTACACAACTCTTCCTGCTTTGCCAAATCCTTCTACATCATTTCCTCTTCACCAATACCAACGACATCTTTCCATTCATATGCTCTTCCTGCTACATCAATCCATACGACATCCTTCCATTCATATGCTCTTCCTGCTTCACCAATTCCTACAACATCCTTCCACTCGGATGCGCTTCCTGCTTCACCAATTCATATGACAACCGCTAATTCAATACTGTTTCCTTTATTCGACGACCATCTTCCCCACTACTTTCCCAATCATCCAGATCGCTCCAGTGACCCCAACGCAACCCAGACCCCAAGATAATGCTTCGCTGTACTCAGAACATTTTACAGGTATTAAAATATAAGTATTATTTAAATATATTTAATATTACATCCACAAAGTTACCATAATTGTTCATTTATAGGTTCTCCAAGGGTTCTCAGAATTACTTGCCCCATTGAGGATTGCGGGAATGCTTACACATGGTACAGCACACTACAAAAACATATTGAGTGTCATCATCACATCAATATTGAACACAAAGACAAACTGTTTTCTTCTATTAATGGTTTGTCAACTTTTAATTATGAAGATTTTCAACAAACATTTCTATAATTTCATCTTTTGCTATAGATTTTTACAGCTGGAAAACTGAGATGGAACAGAACAGTATTACGTCATATGTGAAGGACACTGCAGCATACATAACAAAAGACAATTGCTGCACCATTCAATATTATAATTGCCATGATCACACAGTTACCAAACAAAGGAAACATGTTTGAGGGGTAGCAAAAAACTGGCCATGCTTGTCCCTCACGAATTATGTGCAAGGTGTATAATGACGGACATGTTGAAGTTGATTACTGGAAGACACATGTGGGACATGAAAATTTGATAAAATATGTGCGGCTGGATCAAAATTTGATCAGAAACATCAGGGGTATAATTAATTTATTTTCATAAATGCAATAATCACATTGTTGTTAGTTCTTTGCCATTTGTAATATATTTTTTCCAGATCAAAATAAAGCAGGCGTAGATGATGACTTTATTATAAAAAACATACGTGAAGATTGTTATAACAAAAAATTACTGAGACCACTGAGAGCTTCCATGATAACGAAGAAAGATTTATGGAATATAAAAAGGCGGGTGTTACCACCAAATGATACCTTTATAAAAAAATGATTCAAGAAGTGTAGCCGATTCTTTGCATTTAATGCTGTAAATAATTTAATTATCTTCATAATTAACTATTATTGATGTTTGCTTTATTTGCATAATTCATTTAAAGTTATGCCATTCATTCAAGTTATGGAAATGTGTTTCAAATTGTAAATATCTATACATTATATAGCCTTGCCAGTATCATAACACACTGCTTATGTGTGCATTTTTGTATCTAACGACAAATAATTTAATTATGTTAATTAAATGTGATTGGTATTTGATTTATTTGCATAAATATATTTATTATACCATACTTTAACAATATTATGGAAATAGGTTTTAAATTGTAAATATACGTATATTAATATGTTCTATAATTTCAATAAATTTTTATTATTATAAATGAATAGTTTTTCTTCTTTTATAAGAAACAGTATATTTTTTGATAAAAAAAACAATGCTAAAGCTTATGTTAACGCATTAATCTTTTATTTGTTGACCAAAATTAGGTTCAATTTTTCAATACCATACGTACTGTTAATTTTATAAAAAGGTTGGAAATAATTTCAAATGCCTGAACAAAACTTAGTGGCACCTTACAGAACTCCATCTAATTGATTGAGAATTTAACAAATTTCAGCTATATAAATGCACGTCACAACTATTTCGACAGATTATTATTCACATTTTTATATGACAAGAACTTTTTCGGAGAAAACAGTTGTACGTTTATTTAACTTACTGAATAAAAACTTCTTATATAAGTACTACATTTTACCACTTTCAGACTTAATATGATTATTACTATATACTATGACAGTACTAAATCCTCTACGTAATATTATGATCGTAGAGAAAATTAAATATATATAATATATTGATATACATTAATATATGAGAACTGAAATTAAATTGTAACTGTCACATTGACGTCTATGAACTGTCATTATGCACTAGGATTATTTACACTTTTATATTGGTACGCCTGCTTTGTTTGTCACCTGTTCATGAAGTATATTGTCGTGTCAAAAAATGGCCGCCAGTGACTGGATGAGGAACCGTGTATCGTGGCGAGACGACTGCATGACGACTGTCATCTATGGTAGAGGCTGACATATGTGCGAATGCTAGAGACATCTGGTGGAAATAGGAAGAGCAGTGTTCTAATTCAACCGTCAAGCATACTTTGACAGCTCATAATTTTTAAAAACACTGGCATGTTTAGGTATATCAAAGGGAAATCCAAATGTTTGAAACGAATATTTGCCGTATGCGCAATTTATAGTTTTTACACAGAAAACATCAATAGCCACAATGTCAATGGACCCAGCAGAAGTGGAATTTTTGGCAGAAAAAGAAACAATTGAAGTTATTCCTAATTTTAGCTTCGACCCTGTACATCTAATATCAGGGAGTATTGGACCATTTAAAGCTGGTTTACCTCTAAATGTTCCTTTATGGTTAGCAGTCACTTTGAGACAGCAACAAAAATGCAGATTCGTTACCCCGGAATGGATGGATGTTACACTACTAGAAGAAGTTCGAGAAGAAGAGAAACAATCCAGGTATGAATGGTTTACCTGATTGTATTTGCAGTATTTGTATATCACAACTTAAAATTTTTATAAAAAGTGAGACAAATACTATTTGCTGGTATTTATTTTTTACTTTGCAGTTCAATATTATGTTTTATCGATTCCTATTGTATTTTATATTATTTTTTCCTCTTATATTATTTAAAACAATTTTGTGTAGTGTATATTTTATTTATTATTTTATATCTATTCAATTACCATTTGTATTTTTCAGGTTCTTTACTAAAATGCCAAACCCACATTACATGGTGGAAGCAAAGTTAATCTTAAACACTGCTGCAGAAGATATACCAAGAGCTGAAGAAATTAGAACAATAATTAAAGACATTTGGGATATAAGAATGGCAAAATTGAGGACTTCTATGGATGCATTCATTCGAGAAGGTGGATCATATGCCAAACTTGATCACTTAACAGCAATGGAAATAAATTCTGTAAGACCCCTTTTACCGCATGCCTTGGACCAGCTATTCAGGTTGCAAATGGTAAGTTTGTAATAATTTATCTTCGATTTAAATATTGTTTTCTTTATAGTATTAAATGTAGTCTCCTTAATATTTAAATTATTATTTAATAACTTGTGCATTATTTATTACAGGTACAGAAGTCATCAAATACAACACAAAATTCAACGTTGCTTAGTTCCTTTTCAAGTAAATTTACTTCGTGAGGTACATTCACATTCTATATATATTTGTTTATAACATTTATAATAAATTATAAATATTTATTTTTATATATGTTTAAAATAAATCGATGAACAATTTTTAAATAATTACTTTATTTTGAATATTGTAATCATCATTAAAAATTAGCATAAAGTAACGTAAAATTTATATTTTTTTTTGAATAGTTTTGCTATTCACTCCAATAAAGTTCTAATAACAATATTCTTCTTCAGATGTAATATCATTGGATACTGATTGCCATGGTATTGGATTGATCCAGCCAACATTTTTTACAATATAGCTTTCATGTCCTTTATTCAATGGGGATGGCTTAGGTTTTAAATGTACAGACCTAATCCATTCTTCAAAAACTTCATTTGCTTTTTGGCTTTTTAATTCATTTATCAATATTTTGCTCTTGCTTTCTTGCAGTTCAGCTTCTTTCTTCTGTTTTGCTTCTTGTTGTTTTTTAGCTTTCCACATTTTTGTAGCTGAAACCTTCTTTTCAATTAATTCTTTGTCAGCTTCAGCTTTTTGCATGGCTTCTTTCTTTTTCATCTCCTCAATAATTTCATTGACCTTTTTCTCTTCCTTCTTTCGTGTTAACCAAGATTTGAAATTAACTTCTTGAATCTTTTTGCGTTGCAATGCCTCCTCTTTCTTCAGCTCTAATTCAGTTTTTATCTTCTTCTGCTTTTCAGCTCTGCTTTTAAGTTCTTCCGCTTTGCGATCATTCCAAGCTTTATAAGCAGCCTTTCTTGCTTCTTGTTTAGCTTGTCTTTCCTTTTCCAGTTCTTCCTCTTTGGCTTTATCTATTACAGAAATATCTTCGGCGGCTTTGTTTGGTTCCGCTTGATTACTTTTTGTATTTGAAAAATCTTCTGGCGAATAAACTTGTGTAATTATAGTTCTGTGCCCAAAAGTACATGGCAAATCGTCGTTGTCGCTAGAGTCACATGAAGCGATGATGTTTTTCTTTTTTGTCAATTCCTTTCTTCTCATTTTCTTGAGCGTTTTTCTATCCTCTACCGTAAAAGTATCTTCACGTTTTAAATAATTGCTCTCTGCAAGTTTTTTTACCAACAGCATATGTGACTTAGGCAGTTCGTCCCCTTTTGGGCCCATATTGTCCAGACCAGTACATGATTTGACATCATTAACGTATTTCTGAACAGAATCATCAAACTTTTTAAAATCATCTTGAAGAACATTATTGGAACTTTTAAAATTCCCAGTTGAACAAACTTTTCTACCAGTTAGTTTTGCCTTCCTTTTATTTTCATTTTTCTCATCTATTGTTTTTCCCACAGTCTTTATGATTGTTTCTAGTTTATCAAGAGGATCAGGCTCACTATCTGACAGCATTGTGTATCAAAATTTAATTTTTTCATTAAAATTCTGAGAAAATAGTTGAATGAATTACTCGTTTTGATTTATAAAAAAAAATGTTTCATAATAAACTGCTAATGATTCAAACTTTATTCATAAAATAAAAATATTATTACTGACGTATTGTTTTATTGTGACAAGTGATAAATGAAACAAAATCTTAAAAACAAATATTCATCTATTATCGAATGTTTATAAAAAAATATTTTGCAAATAGATGAAATATCAATAGTAACTATTATTATGTCGTTGTTTCTTGTCAGCTGCGTAATCTTTTAGAATCATAAAGTTCAAAATGTGAATGATCACTCGCAAAAATATATTCTGTTTTGAGCATGAGGCGATATTACAAAATTTTAACAAAAAATTATCATACTTTGTATAATAGAAATTGCAAAAATCGACACTGCACAATAGTCATTACTGTGCGGTTTATAGTTTTTACTGTGATTTATTAATATATATATTTACTGTGATTACATATATAATAGTGATTTCACTGAACTGATGGCATCAGTCATTGCAATTGTAGTTAAAATACCAGGAGTATATATACTTAAGTATAGGAATTCCTATAGGAATGAAGGTGAAGTAGTACAGGCGAGTGGTCCGAATTCAAATCTAAGCATCATATAGATGAAAAAGAGTATGAATAAATGTTTTGATTTTGTTTCGTAATTAAAAAATTAATGATAACAGTGGTAATAATAATTCAAAGCCTTGAATATCGAAATAAGCCAATTTATTTGAAATGAAATCAGTTTCATATAAGACTAGCACTTAAGTTCCTATACTCCTGGTATTTCAACTACAAGATTTCTCACAATAGATTTACTAATTGGGATAAATTCAAAGAAATTCTTGATCATAATATAAATTGTAATGCTCCATTAAAATCCAGTGATGATATAAAAGTGGTTATTGCATCTCTCACAAACACAATACAACTAGCAGCCCAAAAATCTACTCCTACGATTGATAGTTCTTCTACAAAACAAATTCCAATTCACATTAAAGAAAAAATAGCCATAAAAAGACGTCTCAGAAAAAAGTGGCAAATTACTAGATCCCCGTCTGACAGATCAAACTTTAACAAAGCTTGTAAAGAATTAAAAAAGAGTCTACATGATATTAACAATGCCAACATGGAAGAAAAACTAGATAATCTAACAGCAACTAGTGACACTAATTATTCACTATGGAGAATGACCAAAAACTTTAAAAGACCTGTTATACATACTTCACCAATTAAAAAAGATGACAATTCTTGGGCAAGGAATCGTCAGGAAAAGGCAAATGCGTTCGCATATTATTTTGAGCAAGTTTTCCAACCAATTCCATCACAAATACCATGTCATAAAGAAAAATTTATACATGACTTTTTATCAGCAAATGTTGAAGTATCTGAAGATACTGTACCTATCCGATTTTCTATTTCAGAAGTTAAGGAAATAATTAAAAACTCCAAATCAGGTAAATGTCCTGGCAATGACTTCATTACAAGCAAGATGTTAAAAGAGTCTACACCTAAAACAATAAGATTTATTACTATCTTATTTAATTCTATTTCGAGATTGAGAATATTTCCGGACGTATGAAAAACTGCCAGGATTATCGTCGTTCAAAAAGTAGGGAAAGATCCATTTATGCTGAAATCATACAGACCCATAAGTTTAATTTCTATTCTTTCAAAAATTTGTGAGAAACTTTTGCTTAAAAATTTTTTAAGCGAATTAGAAAGCAAAAGCGTTATACTCCAATACCAATTTGGATTTAGAAAATTGCATTCGACCATAGAACAGACTCATAGAATTGTCCATTATATAAATAAATCACTGAAAATTTCTGAAATCAAAAGAAAAAAAGTACTGTTCAGCAGCATTCTTAGATATACAACAAGCATTTGATAAGGTATGGCATACTGGGCTATTCTATAAATTAAAAATTAATTTGACGTACTCTCTATATTTAATAATAAGATCATATCTGTCAAATAGGAGTTTTTAGTTAATAAGAGAGTTGTAATAAGAGTTTTAATGAGTTAATAAGAGTTAGTTAATAAGACAGTTTCTTCAGGTGTTCCACAAGGAAGCGTCTTGGGGCCAATTCTATTTCTAATATACACATCTGACATACCAATAACAACTAATACTTTGATCGCTACGTTTGCTGATGATACGTGCATTCTAGCCAGCCACATAGATTCCAGTTCTGCATCTGAGTTACTCCAAAACTATTTAAATCTATTAGAAAAATGGAACAGAACCTGGAGATTTGAAATGAATGGCTTAAAGTCAGTACATGTCACATTTGCGTTTAGAAGAGCGACCTGCCAACCAGTAAGAATAGGAAATACTGAAGTACCTCAATGAAGACCATGTGAAATATCTCGGTAAGTATATACCTCGATAGAAAACTTAATTGACAAACTCATATAAAAAAAAGAGACAACAGCTTGAGATAAAAACCAAAAAGCTTTACTGGTTACTAGGAACTAAATCCAAACTAAGCTCATACAATAAGCTACTTTTATATAAAACCCAATTTGGTGTTATGGTATACAATTGTGGGGCAGTGCTCATAAGACTAATATAAAAATTATACAGAAATTTCAAAATAAAGTTTTGAAAATTGCCTTAGGAGCTCCAAAATATATTCCCAACTGGTTAATTCATGCCGACACGAATACACCTACCATAAATGAAGTAATAACAAAAACAGCGCAGAAGTATAGAAACAAGCTAATCAATCACCCAAATACATTAGCAAACTCATTGATGACAGAGAACTATCGAAGAAGATTGAAAAGAAAAGCGCCATTGGATCTAAGCCATCAACTCTCCTGAGAAAAAAATAGAAATAACTTAATCATTATTTATAAGTAATTATTCAATAATAAAATATTGTGAATTATATATAGAAAGGAAAAACAATTACTGAGTTGTTTTTTCCAACATGACAATGTAGTATACAATATCCCTTCTCGGCAGACTATGGTAAATTCATTAAATTTACTAAATGCCCTTTACTGGACATGATTAGCAAATCGAGTGAGATTAAAACTTTAAAAAAATGTACAGCTTTACAACATACATACATAGTTTTATATGGCTTCTAGTTTTCTCTCAAAAGCTGTTTTATCTTCAAAATCAATTTCTACATTTTATGGTATTTTGTGCACATCGAGAAATACTTGCACAATAGGATAATCTTGCAAATTATTGATTGTGCGAGAATCGATAGATATAATTTGACGCATCTATTTTTATTGGTGGTAAACAATTTTCCGCCAATATCTTATGGCTCGCCCCATTGCACGAATCCGCACGGCAAACCTGTTTGCTATGTGCGCAGACTAAATTATTGCAAACTAAGCAAACTATTGCGAACAGCATCTTTAGATTTGTTATTAAAATAACATCTAATTAAAACAAATCTAATTAAAATTTAGATTTGTTCGTAATTTTTTTTTTCAATTTTCTGCAAATTTCGAAATTTTTGAAATAAAACTATTTTATTTTTTTTGTTAATTTTTTGAAAATTTTAAATTTTTTTGATATTTTAGATAAAATTACGAAAACTTGAACTAAAAATCATATTTGAATTTTTTCGA